AAATTAAAATTCGGAGTTAAATAAATATCGAGCCCGAAAACGTAACTGATCTTTAGGGTGATACTTGGTTCGTCGTAGTTGTTGGCCAACGACCAAGCATCACTTTTGCTTGTTTCATATTCGTAAAAACCTGGAGAAGCATTTCCTTGGCAAGTACAAAGATAATTGGAAAACGTTCTTTTCAGACTTTTGTTATGCACTAAACAGCCACGTTGAATCTATTTTTAAACAAAGATGGAATGCATTATTAAAAAAATATAAAGATGCTTCCAGTTACCTTCAATGCCAACTATACCAATATAGAGATGCTTGGGTGCTATGTTATACTCATCGTTCATTTAATGCTGGGGTTCAAAGTACCCAGCGTGCTGAATCATATAACTCTTTAATTAAAGCTCAAGTGAACGGGATATCAACGCTTTTAGATCTAGAACATAATATTAGAAGATTATTAGAAAGAGAGAGCCGCTTTACACGTCTTAATGAGACAATTGGCCAACTTCCTATTAGCCGAGAAGAAAGTTACTATAATAAATATTTCAGCAAAGTTGATATATCATGTCAAAAATTTCTCACACCGGCAATTCTTAAACTCCAACAAAATGAAATTAATTGTAGCATACATTACCGATGTTATGTAGCTAATTTAAATAATGAGCTTGGACAATATGTAAGATAAAGTACTTGTGTTAGTAGAATTAATACTGTATTACGATTAATTTTTTTTTATAGGTTAATTCTGAACCACCGAACAGAATATTCTCAGAAGATATGTTCGATGCTAATGTTATTGAACTAGAAAAATTAATAGATGGTATTGATCAAACAAGAATTTGTGAGCTTTGGCGCATTTCTACAATAGATAAAATAAGTGTACATTTTGTTGTCCTTTATGACAATCTGCACATCTCTGTACATGCCTAACATTGATAAGTCATGGCATTGTATGTCGTCATTTCTTCGCAGTAATGCTTGTATCAAAGGTTGCAAAGTTTCATATTGGGCTTGTACCATGGCACTGGTATCTGGATAAATTTGAAGACGCTTTAGTACTTGAGGATAAACCAGCAACTACATTGACTTCAGATTATGAATTCTCTGCTATTCAAATTGATTTTTCACACTTGGAGGGCATTCGTGGAAACTATATTTTTACTAGACCTATTTGCGTGAGATGATACGTAGACAGCAATGGGGAAAAGGGTATGGTATGATGAAGAAAGCACTTAATTTAGCTATTACGGCAAATAGGTCTGAAGACCTTTATGAGATGCACGAAAAATTCATCAACGAAATAAAAAAAGAACTCAAAAATCAGGAGAATCAGGTCCTAAATGAGAATGCATTTGAGTTTGTTCAAACTATAAATAATCCAATCGGTATTAGGAATAAGAGCAGACAGAGTAAAAGAATTAAGGCCTTCAATGATGTAACGAATATGTTAAATAACAAGAATAGAAAAGCAAAAATGCCTATAATTAATCAAGATAATGATGGTTCAAATAAATTTTTATAATGCTATATTTTTTTGAAATCCAATACTGTATAATTTAACAATTTATATTTTATAGTCTCTAATATTAGGTCAGAATCTACCGAAAACAATAGAAAAAATATTACTATGAACAAACGAAAATGCAGAATTTGTGGGTTGAATGGTCATAATGCGCGAACATGTGAAAATATTTCAGAATCTGCTAGTTCTGAAATAGAAGAGACTAGTGATGCGGAAGAGACTAGTGATGTGGAAGAGACTAGCAATGTGGAAGAAACCAGTACTAATAAGTGAAAATGTAGAATTTGCGGATTGGAAGGTCATAATGCACGAACATGCTCAAAGTAAATGTGTAGAAGTGTATTGACATGATTTTTTATTTTTTTTATATTGATCACATTGCATGTTAGACAGCTTTAATAAATTATTGTCATACAAAGTATAGACGCGATTGCTTATATTAATTAGATAGTAAGTAATAGTTCATTTTGTATTTAGCAGCTTTGTGAATTTATTTGTTGTGCAAAAGTATAGTTTCTTTTTTTTTAATGAATTGTTTGTTATACAAGTTAAAGTTTTGAGGCCAATCGGTTAGTTAGATTTTATTAAGTATAAAACTAAAAAAGGCGACACGTACAATATAAGCTCTATAAGCTCTATACTACAATTTTAGTTATACGTATAAATTTTTGAACTATTTTATACGAATTTAACTACACTGGTAACTTATTTATACATTTTAAACATTAAGAAAACTAACTTTAAATTATCTTATATACAGAAGAGTTAACTTATGCAATGTTCTGAAAAGGTAAAGTAAAAAAGCTTCACTTAAATTTTAAAATGTATTAAGCCAAAAATTACTGCTAGTAAAAATTGAGGTTTCGGGTCTGAGGTAAGACTAACTTGTTAGTCATCAATTTGTCAACAGGCAAAAATAAATTTGGGGACAGGAAGTACTACTAGTTATACAGTATGTACATATGTACGTACGTACGCACATATGTACAGTACATACTAGCGGTATTGTAAAATAATTTATTTGTGTAACATTGACGATCAAATGAATATCGCGTATATGTAATCACGTGATTATAATGCCGACCTATTATTCGGAACTGGTGTTGAACACCAGTGGTGCGATTTAGTAAACCCGTTTTTTTTAATTAAAATAATAATAATATGTAATAATAAAAATAATAAATAACAATTTATGTTTTCAAAATGGAAAATACGAATCAACTTTGTTCGTCTTGTCTAATGATAAAACACAATACTGCATTTCAAAATAATAATAAAATTTGCATTGAATGTTCAAACCGCATAAATGAAAGCAAAAAAAAAGATAAAATTTTAAATGATATTTGCATGCTTGAATATATAATTCATGAGAAATAACACAAACGAAACATCTGCAAGTTCAATAGCACTAAAGATCGTAAAGATCTGTGAAAAGGAAGATGGTTATTCGTATGTTTACCATAAAAAAATATTAACAAACAAATCAAAGACTACTTCGTTTACATATTGGTACAATTGTCGCTGTGAGCTTGAAAAAAGGATGAAAAAAAATGATGATAAAAGTAAACAACGCAATAGGAGACCATGACATCTTGTTAATCCTCTTGGGAAGATTTTTTCAGAAGGTTTGTTATTATATATATATATATATATATAACTTCTAAATCTAATATTACTTTTAATTAAGTACAATGAAATTCTCAATATCCTTTTATTACAGTATTACAGAAGCTAAGGAAACTGTATGGGAAAATATTCGATCATCAACCTTAATTAACCAAACACAAGTCAATTTAACGATTGACCTTGTAAATACAGAAAACCAAAATATACATAATGAAGAATCAAGTACTGAAAGTGAATTCGAATCTGAAATTTTAAGAAAATATAAAAAAACTCTTCATGAGGTTCAGATTAAAAAACTCGAATTGATCCGGGATTAAACCGAAACCGATTGAATCTGAAATTTCGGTTTGAATTCGGAGCCAATCCGAAGAATTTAATGGATAAATATTTTAATATGGTCAATTTGGAATTTATATATTAGTGTAATGTGAAAGAAAAAGCTGGATCCAAATCTCAAAATTAGGGTAATCCGAAACTTTTGACCAAAACCGATTTTGCGGCTCGGATTGGATGATAATCCGAATCTGTCTGATTATTCGGAACATTATCATGAGGTATAAAATTAATTCTTTATCGTTATTGTCGTATTTTCATGTTTACATAAATATCTTATTAATTTTATGTTTTAGGCGCTTGATTATCTTGAAAAGCCTAACATTCTTCCCAAGCAAAAAAAATAACTTCGAATCATTGAATCGAACTTTAAACCTATTCAAAAGATGGTAGGTGGCATTAAAGATTTCGAATGAGCAAAGAAGCTTCCAAAAACTTGGAATATACGTAACAAAAACACCTTTTATTGGTAGCATTAAGTTCAAATTTAAAGCTTTGTATATATATTTAAAAAAATTTGAATTTGGGTATAAATGAATTTTAAATATTCGAATCGAATGTAATTTGTAGTGATAATTAAGTAAATTTAAATAAATAAATAATAAATAAATAATTATTTCTTCAAAATTCTCCTAATTCGGTTATTCTCAGTTATTCTTGTGCTCAGATTGAATTTAAAAAGCGATTACATGTCTGATTTTGGTGGCGATACTAGATGCGTTCCAAGAACATTGCTATACTATATGACCATGCACGCCACATGAAAATCACTAAAAAGACTGGCTAGTTGGAATTGATAAACGTAAGTAGTTATTACAATATTCTCATTGACTATAACTTTTGCTGCATTTTTCTGATTGATCATTTGCATAATTGTCAAATCTTCAACTATTGCGACATTCTTGATCATCGGCATCTTCTATATTGAAAACAATATGAAAATTATGAATAAAAACTCTAATACATATAAACTTACCAATTTTATCTAATTTAATTCTGACTATGACGATCCTATTTAATAACTATTGCATCGTCAATGATTACATTATCATATTTTTTATAATCAATCTATGAATTATGCCAGGGTGAATATTCTGTTCGCTTTAGAGA